GTTGAAAGCTTGAATTGACAAGGGAATTGCTAACCCCTTTATATGTAGCCTGCAGTGCAGACCTTTTCCATGTGTTCACAAATAAGTGGTATTAGCTCGCCATTGAGTAGATTCGCCACCATGTTGGCTTACGCCTTTTTGTATCCTTTCCAAGCCTCTTCTGAGTTTGATTCCAAGATGGCGCTTGCTCGCCTAAATGTGCCTGCATTGCAGGCTACTTTATATGATGCTCTGAATCCATCCTGCAGTGCCCCCTACATTTTGTCAGTGTGCATCAATTTGAGAGAGACACTGTGTGGGGTAAGTGTCTTTCCCAAGGACGCATCATGACCCTGCCCAAGGTTTGAACCTAGACTGCTTGATCTGGACTCTGATAAGATTTCAACGTGCATTCCATTTGGTCACCCAGCCTCTAGTCCTTAATGAATAGTAGAATGTTATCCTGGGAGTGCACATCGTTTTGAAGATGAGCTGATGAATTCTTTAAGATTTCTAAGGATGTTCTGAAGATTTCNTCCATGGATATCTTCGAAGCAGAAGTGGTTAAAACCAGAGTGAGTCCATCCATAGGGCGAAAAATCATCAGAATAGGCTAGAAATATAAAATAAATCAATCAATCAGTCATAAATCAATCAGTTATAATTATCAGTTGAAAGCTTGAATTGATAAGGGAATTGCTAACCCCTTTATATGTAGCCTGCAGTGCAGACCTTTTCCACGTGTTCACAAATTAGTGGTATTAGCGTGCCATCGAGTAGATTCGCCACAATGCTGGCTTACTCCTTTTTGTTTCCTTTCCAAGCCTCTTCTGAGTTTGATTCCAAGATGGCGCTTGCTCGCCAAAACATGCCTGCATTGCAGGTTACTTTATATGATGCTCTGAATCCATCCTGCAGTATCCCCTACATTTTGTCAGTTTGCATTGAGAGAGACACTGTGTGGGATAAGTGTCTTGCCCAAGGACGCATCATGACCCTGCCCAAGGTTTGAACCTAGACTGCTTGATCTGGACTCTGATAAGATTTCAATGCGCATTCCATTTGGTCACCCAGCCTCTAGTCCTTACTGAATAGTAGAATGTTATCCTGGGAGTGCACATCATTTGCAGATGAGCTGATGAATTCTTTAAGATTTCTAAGGATGTTCTGAAGATTTCAAATATTAATTTCACAGTTCCAGTGTCAGGATGTTTCCCCAAACATAATGCCCTCACCAGTACTTTTTTCCCCTTAAAAATTGAGAACC